CAAAATCACTATCAAAATTTCACTATCATATAATAGTATTTATAGTGTATTAAAAAATCTTTAAACTTATATAAATTAGAGTTAGTACTTACAACAAAGAGTTATGAGGTTTTACAATAAAATTGTTCAAAGAAATTTTTTTATTAGAATACAAAAAGCAGTTTCTTATTTAAATTTTAGAGATATAAGTAATTTTTGAACAAGTAAATGGTTTGTTTTGATCTTCATAATTATATTACATTATATTAAAATAAGTCTTGCTATTGAATAATTATTATATAATAGTGAAATTTTAATAGCAATACTAAAATAAGTTGATAATATGGGCTGCCGTCAATAGAAATCAAGCAGATCTACAAAAATCTAATTTTGAGATAATTGATGTTTTTGATAATATTACACAAAAAAGATCTTCAAATAAACAGTTCCCGACATTAATTCTGATCCGCATCGAAAAAAGTAGATCGCTATAATGATAACTAATAAGCATAACTGATAAGTACCAGGTACAAACGTACGCGCGTATGTATACATACACTAAACAACATACATGCCCAAGCATAAGATTTTCCTTCTCTCTTTTATTATTTATTTATTTATTTTTGAAAGTAACCATACTTTTAGAGATTAAAAACGTGTATTCCAAAGTTGTCAAATATGATCCTCTCAAAGAAGTTGTTAATTAAAATTATTGTGATTATTTTTAAACAGAATAAACCATTTTAAATTAAATTATATGATAATGATAGTAGTATTATTAGTAATGATTTTATAAATGGTTGTAAAAATTTTCATTAATGCAAATAATGATTTATAAAAATATAACTTTTTTATTTATAATGCGAATTGAATTTTTACTTTTTTCATAGATTGCAAACTTCTACATCATAAGCTGTTAGTAAGCATTATTAATATCTTGTTAATAAACACGAGATTATTAATTCTGTTCAAGTTACCGTTGGCTATTGTATACAGTATCTGGAGTCTTATTTATTTTTAAAAAATTGAATAGTATCCGTGGATGTGTGAAGAACTGGGTATTTATATTTGGGGAATATCATATTAAAAGCAGTAAATCAAAGTTATACCCCCAGGTTTTATTCAAGAAACAGGATAATAGGGATGATGAGTAATACCCGAGTCTTAATCATGATGGGTATTATTTTGGGAGGATACTGTATAAAGTGGTCAATAGTAAATAGCTAGTTAGTTGTAAGTTGATTAGTGGGCATAGTAGGCTAATTTGTTAATGATTTTTTATATTAAGTCTTAATTATAAAAATATTATAGATTAGCAATATCATACCTTTGAAAGCTATAATATCATGATGAAGTCATACCGCTCAGTAAAAAAAAAATCTTGATTATTCTTATTTATAATACAGCAAGATTGAAAGTGCCTTAAAGTAAATTTGATATAAATTAATTGAATCGCTAAACTATTATTTTGTTCTGACATCTTTTTATTTCTACTGTATATGGATTGATCGTTTTATAAACCTCCAAAGTAATTGAGTATGAATATTTTAATATTTCTCATAAAACATGTTCAAGTTATAAGCGTACTATTTAATTCCTATCTAAAGTTATATAATCTATATATAAACTATTTTTTTTTTAAAAAAAAAAAAACACTTCTATTCGTTAACCAACATTGTTTGTATAGTATATTGTTATATGTTTATAAATTTATAAGATATAAAACCAAAAACTAAGTAAGAAATTGTTACTTATGTTGCTTCTTTGGTTTAGCCTGTTGTGGTCTTGGACAATAAAAATCATGCTTGGATGAATCTTGAATATGTGGTCTTACTTCCTCATAAAGGTACTACTGCCATTCCAAACTCAAGCCAGGAGGAGTTATTTCATCAGAAAATTCATCTTTACTAGGTGGTTTGGTATTTACACAAAGTAAATTCACTGTTGTGTTGTCATTATTAATTGCTAATTTGATATCAACTTTTCCTAAAGAATCATGACTTAGTATAAAGTGATACTGTTGAAGAATTGATGGAATTGTCAAAAAATAGGTATTTAAAAACTTAGTCCATTGATAAAATTTAACTTGTATTGAGCCGTCTGGTTTACTAAGAGTCTGTGCAATATTATACCCGCCTACTGTAGAATTATTAACAACCTGAACAAGATCATCTAAGTCATCTATTTCTGAATTACGTAATTTAAGTTTAAAAAGTCTGAAAAAGCTATCAGGGCTAAACTTGGTATGTCCTGCAACCATAAATGAGTAAGTAATTTTTTCATGTAGTCTATTTACAATTCGCCATGCAAGATATTTAATTACTACATTATTTTTGTTCTGTCCTGCGCAGTTATCTGCATGGATAGTTACACATTTTTCACCAAGCCCATGAAAGCAAAAATAGTTATGAACTAATGAAATTACGACATCAGCACCTTTTCCAACACTTTGGTTTTCAGGTATTAAATAATTTACCTTTAATATATATTTTAATATACAGTAAATAGACATACGAAATTTAATAAAATATGACAGGATGAAACCCACACTGAATTCTGGTTAAATTTGATATATATATATTATATATGAGTAAAAAATTCACATTATTATATAAAACCGAGTTGGCTTATGACCTATTAATAAGTTATAGGTTATGACACTACACATTACTCTTAATATAACAAACTCTTGAAATAACAGAGACTAAGTAAAATCTCAGTATAATGGATCAAGATTTAGATCCACATCATAATAAATACTACTTGATCTAAAATAGCCAACACTAACACAGGTTGAATTAATGAATAACAGGTGCATACCGGGAGACAAGTTTTCTGATATGTACCCATTAGTCTTCCATAGATCTGCCAAATATCTGCAGCATATTGGCAGCACATTGGTAAGATATTGAGAGGTAGATCGATATTGGTAATATAATAGTACAATATTGGGATATCCTGATATCTTAGTATCCCAATATTGTACTTTTATGTTACCAATATCGATCTACCTCCTGATATCTTACCAATGTGCTACCAATATGCTGCTAATATTCAGTAGATATTTGGCAGACTAATAGGTACATATCAGGAAGCTTGTCTCCTGGTATATACTCAATATTCATTGATTCAACCTGTGTAATACTAATTTTACTCTAATATACAATATAGATTTATTAGAATTTGGTAGGAGTTTCACACTAACCTATAATAATTTAAATTATATATATACTTGTCATGGAAATGCTTCTTCGCATATGCCAAAAACTCCAACTTTAAATAAAGATTTAAAGTAGACGGCACCCTATATTTAAAAAATAAAAATATTTAATATATATAACAAAAACTTAAATATAAAATAAACTTTTCTCCTGTTGCGATGAAAAGAGTAAATGAACACTTTCAGAAAAGTCCCACGAGATGTGATTTTCTATATCTCGTGAATTTGGAATACCTGGCCGTAATAAATTATTAAATTTTTCAATTTCTTTTTTAGAAGTAACAATGCATTTTCTAAATATTTAATAAAGGTTTAAATTTATTTATATTACAATTTGGTGCATAATATAGTATATCATAATTTTACTTACCGATAATATTCACGTTCCAAACTAGCCCAAGAATAATGATTAGACCATTCATTTAATTTATTCAATGTTTCACTTTGAGACCGCCACTTAGCACTAAATCTCATTTCTTTACATTTCATACAAAGATCACTACGTGCAGTTAAAAATTTGATTCTCGGAAGGTAACGTTTCCAAATTCGGCTAAAGCTTGATTGACTAACTACATAATTACTTTCATCAATATCAATTGCATCACTGTAGAGATGATATAATGAATAATAATTTTCACATACTGGTAAGTATATAATAAGGCGTGTATCTTCACGAAAGTGGCGACCTATTTTAACTATAATTTATTAATATAATTTATTCTAATATATATAGGTGCCACCAAAGGAAGACCTGTCATCAGACTTTCAATTATAATTGAAAGTCTGATGATAGGTTTTCCTTTGACAGCACTTATATTAAACAAATCTTAAATATTACCAGGTGAAGGAAGACCATGTTGTGTTGCAAAATTTTAAATAAATGCTAATATATATAATACCGTTTCAAATTTAATAGCATGATTACTAACACGTCCTTTAAGACCATAAGTAATAGGACTTATATCATTTTTCGAATAATGTGCTCGAACTGCTTCCCACTTTGATTTTCCAATTGCATAGATAGTAAGCCAGGCTTTTTGACAAATCGAAACTCCTTGAAATTTATAATTACTTGTTATAAGCTGTTTTACGTCTCCATGGTCTGTAGTTGGTTGTTGTATACTAGCCTCAAGAATCCCTAAAAAAAAAATATTTTTTTCTGCTGCTAACATTGATTTAATTTTATAAAATCTCTTAAGGGCTTCGTCACGGTTAATGGAAGTGTTAAAGCATTTTTTAGAGCAACAAACTGTCTGCTGAATTTTTGTCAAAAACGCTTTATTGTCTTGTTCAGGCATTTTATTTTTTTTTTCTTCATATTCAATAAAATTTTGTATTAAATTAGTTTGATAAATTTGACGAAATAATGCAATTTCTTGCTGTGTAAAACAATCAGACTCAAAACTATCATCAGTTTGTTCTATTATACTATCATCTGTCTGACTTTCAATAAAAAACTCTTCATCATCTACTATTTCATCGCTATCATTATTTGTATTATAATGTTTATATAATTCATTAAATTCGTTATATAAAGTAGTTAATTCAGAATGTGTTTCAATAAAAATACTATCAAAAAGTACATTTTTATTTAAATTTTCATTTATAGTTAATAAAACATCAAGAAGAAAGTACAAATTTAATGGTGAGTGAAATATGTGATTCTTTATTTGATTGTTTCTATATTTGTATATTATATATTATACACGTAATATGTGCAAATTATGTCTTATCTTACTTGTTTATTCAATTTATATCTGTATTATCTTTTTTGAGTTATAAATTTGCACATTCATAAGTTTCAGTATTGATTATCTGCTTTTGTTAAACCTGATCTCATTTTTACTTAATCTAATGCAAAAATTATTATCACAGAATTTGAATTTGTTACCCAATTAATAAGTCAATATAGTGCTCTTGTAAGTTGCATTTGCTAATGCTTTCTTCTATCACAAGATTACTAAATCAAAAACATTAGTATGAACTTCTTAAAAAGCGTATATACTGATACCTTTCTTCTTTTGATTCCTGAACATTATATAAATTATCCAAGATTCAAAGAAGTTGGCATAATGTTCTTGCCAAATGCAATTGCTAATGTTTTTTCAATTTTTGATCCAAGATTATCTCTACTAGGATTTGAAGAAATCAGCGTAGTATTCCTGCGAAGAGCTTTTTTTAACTTTTTTTGATTCAACTTCATTATAACCAATATTCAAAAAAGTTAAAGTGGTATTCGCGGTATTTTCCAAAATTCATTCTAATGCTTTGCCTTCTCTTGATCTAAGCTCATTACACCAAATATTTAAATTTCAAGATATTATTACTATAAGATAAATTTATTAAAGCTTTTCCTTCTCTTAATATAAGATTATAATAAAGATCCAAAGAAGTTAGTGCAGTGTTCTTACAAAGTGTATCTAGTCAGTGTAATGTTTCTGCAAAATGCATCTACTAACGTTCACTTTCTTTTTGATCTAAAATTATTTCAAATAAGATCCAAAAAAATTAGCATAGTGTTCTTGCAACGTAGATTTGTTAATGCCTCTCTATATTCAATATACACTAGTATTCCATAAATAATTGAATTTGAAGTCGTGAAATTTCATTTATCTGCCTTAGTAGTTCAAAATCTGCGATCATTGGTTATTTTTGATGAATTTAAGATATTTTTCTAAATGCAAATTATTAGAATATTATTAAATTAATAAATATAAAGTTTGATAAAGCACTTTTACAAAGAATACTAGTATAATGAAAAACCTGTGTGCTATTTCCTAGTAATACGTAATTTATCTATTCGCTATTTACCCGTGATTTTACTACAAGACTATTTCATATTAGAGTAATGCTAAATAAAACTATGTTTTATATATTAGTAAAATTTTCAAATACCAGCTTTAATCAAATATTTATCAAGCAAATTAATCTTACCTCGGTCAAATCTTGGTTGACTAAAAATGCGAACGCCAAAAAATTTTTAGAGTTACAGCAAAAAATGCCAGAACTCATTATAATAACGACAAGGCATGCCATTATGCCTGCGCTTCTAGGTCTGGAACAACTCAATTTCAAAGCTCACGTTCCTGGTTTCACACAATTGCGTTGTGCAGCTCTTATTGATATTACTGTATTAAAAAAAATAGCCGTCAATAGAAATCAAGCAGATTCCTCTAATAAATCTGCTTGATTTCTATTGATGGCATTAATTAGTAAATAATCGACATTATCTGGTCTCCGAGCTAAAATCAATGTACGAAGGTTTACAAATAGACAAAGTAATTTTTTGTATTTAATTTAAAATTTTATTATGTTAATTGGCTATCTTTTATAAGTAAAAAATAACCATTATAACTTTTTCTATTAAATAGATCATATAACTCATTTTTGGAAAAAATGTCGATCTGCTTGATTTCTATTGACGGCAGCCCATATATACATTTTTTTAAAACATAATCATTTAAATAAACAAAATTAAACTTTATACATATTCTAGTGATTTTATCAAACGGATAAATAATTACAGTTATTAATACATATATTCTTCTAAAATACAATTGTTAAAGCAAACAGAATTAAACTTTATACTCACTCTGGTAATTTCATCAAATAGATAAAATATTGTTGTAGCTGAAGCTGGAAATTAGGGATCCTGATTTAAAAATATAAACTATACCAAAATCCACTTATACTTTTTTATTATTAAAACTACTACTAAACCCTAACCTAACCCTAAAAAAAACCTCTAACAAAGGGCCCAAAAATTTTTGAAAATTTTATATTAAAATAATTAAAATTTCTAGCTTTAGCCATTTCTAGCAACAATTATTACAGTTAATAAATTATTATTATTTTTTTTTTTATTTATTTTTAAGAGAGGTCTTTCCTCTATTCCTTTATTTCAAAATATATAATTAGATACAACCATACAAATTTATACATTT